ATGACTGTGTGCCTGGCTACTCTGCCTTTAAGAGTCAGGCCAAGAGTGATTTCTTTGCCTTCTGGGTCAGATGCCTCCTTTTCTGTATTCCCAAACATGGTTCATAGATCTCTGCTCTGATGGACTGTTTCCAAAATGGTCACAATAATTCCTCCAATCCCTCACAACCTTTTGTAATGTGATTTTGCAAACTTGCCTCATGCCCCGTTAGGAAGCAGAGCCCATTTCCCTTCCCCTTGCATCTGGGCTGGCCTTGTGACTAACTTTGACAACAGAATGTGGTAGAAGTGAGCCTAAGCCTTAAGATGATGTGTGGTTTCCATTTTCACTCTCTTGGAAACCAGCCTTCATTTAAAGAAGCTTGAGTTACTCTGTTGATACTGAGAGACCACATGGAGAGGGTATTCCTGTGAAGGAGATACAAGGTTCCCAGACAACAGCCAGTACCAAGGTCTCAGTGGGTCCATATTGGATGCTCATTAAACACCATATGGAGCACGGACAGCCATCCCTACCAAACCTTTCCTGAATTCCTAGACCACAGAAATAATCAGCAATTGTTTAAAACTATTGAATTTTGTGGTAGTTGTTACACAGTAGTAGATAATTGCAACATCTATTATAGAACTTGTTATTAAATATTATAATTATTTATTTACTTATCTGCCACATTGGTGAGCTACTATAAATGGGAGACAGAATATTTTCATTCGAATAGCTGTAACACCTGACATATGGGAATGCTTTAGAATGATGAGCCCATGAAAAAATAGGACTCTTTAAGGAGATCACAGAGAAACTTTGTTGCATTGAGGATTTGTTAAAGGAAATGAGAACCAAAAAATTAAAGGTACTAGAGAATGATTGTGGAAGACAACAGTGGATGAACATTCAGACCAATTCCAAGGGATCTGCAAAACTTGTAGTTTATGAGTTCTCCTTATAATTGGTGAGATTATTGACTTTTGTTTCCATCAGTGTGCAGCCTAGAGAGCCCCCAGAGACATGAATATTTACAAGGGCCTGTCAGACAGCTACCACTGTGTGCAATTAAACTGTAAGTCATGGTTCTCACTGTCCAGACATTTATACTGTAACAGAAAAGCAGATGTACCAGGACATTGTGGGCTTCAGAAGGATATGAAAAATGACGAGAACAGAAGGCTCATATTCAATGGTTATAGAGCTAGGAAGAGTTTCCACGAATCTGCCTAATTTTTCCCCTTCATGTAGCATTTACTGAACACCAGCTGGGCATGGCACTCCCACTCCTTCTTAAGCTGAAGCCTCAACAAATTGAGAAATCTCTCAAATGTTCTGCACTCTGTCATGCCTCACAGCCTTTGCTTTTTCCTCCCTTCCTTTCTGGAATGATCTATGACCTATGCTTCTGGCCCTTCACCTAGCAATGCTTACATTCATCTGTGGGGCTCCTCTCCCTTCTTTTCCTTATTTGGCCCCCAGGAATAAACTCCCCATTTGCTCTGCCATTTCAAATGTCTCCATATTCAGTGTGAGTCCTCCCGGCTCTACAAAGCCATCACCAACCACCCCAACTTGGGGTTTCTTAGAATGTAGTAGAAAGGGAACTGGCTTTGGGCCGATATGGATTTGGGTTCAAATCCTGGCTATGCTGCTTGTAATTCTGCACAAGTTCCTTAATCTCTTATGTTTCTTCATCTGTAAATTGGGCATGATGCTACCACTTCATGGGGCTGTAATGAGGGTCTAGGAGATCTCTACATAAAGTGTTTAGCTGAGTCCTGGTATATAGCACACCACTGATACATTCTATTATTTTTCTCCTCTCTGAACTTCTGGTATTTAATATCTGTATCACTCATTTGTCCTTAAATCATGCTTGCTTTGTGACAGCTCTTGTCCTGTGCCATTATTTAACTTAATGTATTTACTGAGCAATTTTAATATAAGCTTTCTCCTAATAGCTAAATGGTCTCTTCTTGTACATCTTTATATGTCCCAAGGACAACAGATTCTTAATAAATATTGGTGTGTGAATGAATAGATGGTGGAAAGAATGACTACCTCTCAGGGCTGTCTATACTATACTTTGTAAAGTACAACATTCACGGTCAAGAACTCAGTGAATTAGAATAACTTTAATGTCAGGACATTTTTGTTTTCTAGGAAAGGAATGATTAGGGAAAAGTTCAACAGTTTTCCTTGATCCTATAGAAATAACAAGGGAAAATGCAGATCCCATCCCATGAAAGGATAACTTGGAGGAGATGTAGTATTCAGAGCAATGAAGACACAAGGACTACCACCCAGCTTTAGGCTTTGTTAATACGAATGGATAGCCAGGTCAAAAATAGTGGGAGTGAAAAAGAAATTATGTGAATATTAAACCCCAATTAATTTTATGGGAATTAAGTAAATCAATAGGAAATATAAAGTTTGAGTTAAGATATTAAGGGCCCTTCCATCATTTATACAGATATGCTCATGAGAAGGGAAAACAAATCCTTTAGGACAAGAGTGTTCTGTTACTGACTGAGGCTCCACCTATCAGAAGTAAGAGGTAGGATGACATATTACAAGTGAACAAATAAATGGACTTAATCAGTGATGAAAACCCAGGATCAGTGCATCCTCAGGTCATGTGGGGTTTAAAGAGTAGACAACATGCAATAGGGTCAAGCTCTGAAAAGCTCCAGAAAGGAACTGGAAGTTTTCCAGACAGAAGGAATCTGGCTCCCTTGCTAAACTTTAGATTGGGTATGTGAGCTGGACTCTAGTGCAAGGGGGTCAAAACCAGGCTACACTGGAACAAAGAGAAGGAGGGTTCTGGAGAGAGTGCCTAACGGTGATTTTCATATTCTTTTTTATGCCAAACAACCCTTTGTTCAGAGTCCTACAGGGTTCTGTGATACATAAAAGAAACAGAGGTATTGCCATCTGACTGCAAAGAAGCAGGAAGAGAAAGTATGAAGGGATCTTGGGAGAAGCTGGTAGAATCTTAGATCCCACTTCATAGGACCTTAAGTCTGGCAGAACATGTTGGGAAGACCACTGGCCTGGCATATCTGTTAAGAATTTATGAATTGCTCTTGTCAACTGGCAAGGGTTTTGGTTAAGACCTGTTGGTTAAAGGTCTCCAAAGCGAAATGTACTAAAACTAGTGACAGAAGATCATGTAGGAAAGATGACTGCACCCTCCTCAAGGGGAAAATAGGACCTTGTCTGTCTTCCTGCACCAAGATCTCAGCAGGGTTTATTCTTTCTGGAAAATATTTTTCAAGTCATAACTGAGGCTTTCAATGAAAGCCAATTTCAATTTAGTAACACCTAAATATATCTGAACCAACAGGTTCTGGATGGCCCTTCAGAGTGAGCTGTTGGAAGAGGCAATAGCCATCCTCCTATTTCCTGTTGCTCTAAGAGAGGCCTTGATGTCCAAGGGTATTTTCAATCTTACAGGAGTACTTAGCAATGAATCTTTAGGATCTTGAGTTTCATCTTTACTTAGGAGTGGTTGTAACCACTGAGCTAAGTTTCTAACCTCAGACACTAGAAGGTGGTTACAAAACCAAGATTAGGTAGAGAAACATAAGAACAGCTTTGAAGGCTCTTCTGCCCAAATGAGAGGCCTCAGCGTCAGACTGGCCGAGAGGGTGAGTGGGTGTCTGGCCAGTGTTTCCAGCATTTCAGGGTCAAGGAGCATCTTGGGTGGTTAGCAGTCTGAATCAACACTTACTGACAAATAGATGGTGGATATTATTAGGATTGTCCTCATGAGGAAGATAGGAGTTGAATGTTCTCTCTTCATATTGCAATAGGTTTCAGATACTCAGCTGGGAGAGGCCAGGCCTGAGGTTTTTGGTGGATACGTCCAAGCCTAGGGTAATGCCTGTTGTTAAGAGGGGAACTCATTTTGGGACGACAGCCTTTCACACACACCCCAGGAGCCAGAGCACCCCTCCCCACCCACCTCTTCCGGAAGCACAAATTTAATTTACTGAGTGGTGGGCTGGCCCCCAGCCAGCTCTGCCTGTCCTGTGATCTTAGAACAACCTGACCTTCTCCCTGGGTGGATACTGGTTCCTAAGGGATGTGTAACTCAGGACTGCATGGGTTCCCTGCCCAGCTTCACATTTCCCAAGAGTGAAGCCACCTGTTTGGCTATGCTAATTTGCTCCCGAAGCAGGTGAGCTCACCTGTGCAGCTTTAGCAGAGGGCATTACGTGAGAAGGAGGGCACTGCCTTTTTATGGGTACCTCGTACACTGGGGCTCCCTCTTTGAATACACTGACAATATTTCCGAAGTTCCTCCTCCTCCTCCTCAGTACATCCCCATCAAACATTCTGTCAGCACCAAGAGCCAAGAAAGACAAAAAAGTATCAAATGGGAAAACAATGAAAAGCCTGTTTAGTTCCTGTGTGCAGTGTGAACAATAAGCCACCCTTTCTGAAGTGTCTCAGAAAGGAATGCCTGTGATGTCCTTTCAAAGAAGGACTCTGGCCCCAAATCAAGCTGTAAGCCATGACAATGCTCCACTAAACAGGACAAAGAATTTGCCTTTCAGCCAGAGAGGCATTTCTCACGTACTGGGGAAAAATGCCGCCCACACCACATCACCTCAGCACATTTACTATCACTGCTCTTTTTCCTGCTGAGGCCTGAGGAGTGTCGGCTTCTGTGATTGTTTGATGCATGGAAATTCAGCTGACGGGTCTGAGCATTCAGCACTTTGCCCCCTAAAATACTCATGAGAGAACAGAAGTCTAGTAGATATGTTTGTATTTTGGGGAGTTTAAGGCTCTTGGGTCTGTGTGTCCGCTCTTGTACAGAGAAGACAGGCTCCCCCTTAATCCACAACTCAACTTTTTTGTAGCCAAGCATTTGAAATTAGCTGAAGTGTCAAAACACATAAAACACTTGTGGAAAGGACTTTCAGTTCGGCAGCTCCAAACAGCACCAGATAGAAAGAGGGAAATGTCCAAGTCATTCAGAGTACAGGGGAGGGCTCGCCTCTTACCTGGGCTTCTTTCACTATCCCATTCTTCACGCAGTTTCCACTGGGTGAGCCGTCGCTCTGTTTCTCGTGCTTGTGCAGATTTCCATTGCAAATAGCACCACCTCCAGGATTAGCCATTTGTGTGAAACGATGGAATCCAGCAGGTTTTCCTCCAGAGTTTCTTGGCAAGCTTTGGTTTTGAAGTTGGTGAGGGGATGGGAGGAAGCACTTTGGGCTGAGCCCCTGAAGGAATCCTACCGATCAGGCTTTCCAGAAGAGCAACAGCCTATCTTTGGGGCAGATCTTTGAAAGGAAAAACAAGCGGTTACCTTTATGCTCCTCGGCTCAGAATGCGACCTTCAGGGCAACAGACCTGCTTCTGAAACTACAAAGGATATTGCCCATGCTGGCTCCTTGGGGGGCAAGAGGAAATCAGGAGACTGCAAAACCCCAGTGGCAAACTGCGAGGAGGCGGGCTGGGAGGTGGAGCATCTTTTAAAGACACACACACACACACACACACACACACGTACACACACACACACAGCACAGTCACGGTCTCTTGTCCCCTACCTGTAGTCTGTTCCGAATTTATGTCTACCCCCACCCCCGCCCTCCTGTATCTAATTACAACTTTTGGTTGTAAACCTAGCTCAACTTTTTTTTTTTTCTGTGAAAAAACACTTAGCAGTGGCAGCCAGGACTGCCCAGAGGGAGAGGAGAATGAGAAGTTACTGTTTCAAGGGCACAGAGTTTCAGCTGGTTCCATGGATGATGGTGATGGTTGCACAACTGTGTGACTGTACTTAATGCCACTGAACTGTACACTTAAAAACAGTGAAAATGGGAAATTTTGTGTGATGTGGATTTTACCATAATCCAAAAATGGCAAAAAAAAGTAACAATATTCAGAACCCACCTGAAGTTAAAACCAGTGATATAATGAGAGGTATTAACTCATCAAGCATTCCAGTAGCACACAAATCTGGGAGACAGAATGTTTGGTTTCTTGTTAAGGCTGCAATATTTTATCACGTGACTTTGGGAAAGCCATTTACTCTCCTTTTGCCTCAGTTTGTTCAGCTAAAGAGACAAAACATTTTTGGTGGGCTAACGTCCAGTGGGGTAGCAGGAAAAGAAAAGTGTGGCTTGGGTTTGTTACTGACACAGGTGTTGTGAGGCAGATGGTGACTGCGGTGTCCCAGTCCTGAACACGTGTGGTTTACTCATTACCTCTTCCTCTTTCAATGCATTAGGCATCTGTGTTCTTCTATCGTCATCAGATGGCATTGTGCTTTGTTGGACAGTGTCAATCATTTACAGCCTGTTCAGTCCTCCTAAGCCCACCGTTACAGTTCCCCTGAACGAGACTTCTTTAATATCATGCACTTAGGAATAAAAACCCCAGCCATTTATTGGGTCAATGCACAAAAACAAAGACACACACATCAGCAAAAAATAGGAAGAGAAAAACAGAGATGGCCCCTGTTGCCAGAGCCTCATTTCTTGGCTTTCAACTCTCTTGGATAGGGTTTATTTCCCCTCCAGGAAGATGTGGCTTATGGAGGAGGTGATGATAATGCTTCTTCCAACCATGATTTGCATAGGAGGGTTGCCATTTTTTTCTGCCCCAGGGAGAGCTAAAGGTGTAAGATAAGGTCTTGGGCTAAATGTCAGGATGGGGCTAATCCCAAGTGTGCCCACCCTTTTGTGTCCCAAGCTCAGATTTTTTTATTGCATTTCTTCCAACTTTGTCATCAGAGGAGAACTAGCTTTTCCCTGGTCTCTCTCTTCTACAGCTGTTATACTGGGAGTCAGGGCTAAATTTGTGTTGCTATTTCCTTCTAGACTTATGCAAAAGGGAGATGAAAAGGTAGGGAAGGACACTGATAACTGTTGGCCTGACTGCCCCAGCTTACTTAGGAAGACAAGTTGAAGACATGGTGTTATCTTGATCTAGCTCTAATGATCCATACAAGATTATTTTTGGAATAAAGATTTTGAGATAAAACTAACTAAATTTCTGAACATTAGATGTTTCTATCCCACCTCCTTTTCTTTTCTTCTTCCTTCTTCCCTTTCATGTTTCGAATTTCCTCTTTTTCCTTTCTTCTTACCCTTCTGTCTCCTCCCCCTTCTCTTTTTGTTTTTCTTTATTTTCTTTTTACAAGGAGACAAAAACTGTATATAAAGAAAACATCTTAAAACAAAACTGAAATCTGCATCACTTTTCTTCCCCCCTCATCTCAATTACCAACGTTAGGTGCTCACCCACCAACCTTTAGGAAGTATCTACTACATGTTCTCACTCTTGAAACTTTTCTACTTTACTTGTCATGTTGGGATATGTGAATTGTAATATGCACAAAATCATCTCAACACATCAACCATTTAGCATCAGGTACTGTCGATATGTGTAATCATGGTGACTCATTGTTTCTTCAGTCAAAATAAGTGTGGAAGTCTCTTTGAGTTGAGTTGTACCTTTGAGTTTAAGGACATTGATTACTATGGTCTGAATCTTTGTGTCCCCCTAAATTCATAGGCTGGGACTGTGACCATCAAGGTGATGGTATTAGCAAGTGGGGCAGTTGGGAGGTATTAGGTCGTGTTGGGGGAGTCCTCATAAATGAGACTAGAGCTCCCTTGCCTCTTCAGCCAGGTGAGGTTCTGGTGAAAAGATAGCCATTTAAGAAGTAGACTCAAACCTTCCAGTGCCTTGATCTTGGACTTCTAGCCTCCAGAACTATAAGTAATAAATTTCTGTTGTTTATAAGCCACCCAGTGTTGTTATAACAGCCCAAACATACTAAGACATCAATCAACACTAAAATGCGAACTAAATATTGGGTATGATTTAGTGTCTCTGAATAATGAAGCACATTTCAGATCAACTAGTAATCTTTTTTTTTTTTTAAAGATTTTATTTATTTATTTGAGAGAGAGAGAGAATGAGAGATAGAAAGCACGAGAGGGAAGAGGGTCAGAGGGAGAAGCAGACTCCCTGCTGAGCAGGAAGCCCGATGTGGGACTCGATCCCGGGACTCCAGGATCATGACCTGAGCCGAAGGCAGTCGCTTAACCAACTGAGCCACCCAGGCGCCCTCAGATCAACTAGTAATCTTAATAAATATTTGAATAACTGTGATGTATTAGGTTATTTGCTAAGCCTTTCCATACAACAATGAATGGGACAAAAGCAGTCTCCACCCTCACAGAACCAAGGGTTAGCAGCACCTTCATACCTTCTACTCAAGATATCTCATTAGTGAAATTAAAAAGAAACCTGTCCATTCGTGTATTAAAGGCAAAGATAAAATTAGTTAACCATGACCTTGTGGCGTTCTCTGAAGGGAATTTTTGGCCCAGATGCCTACTTATAGAAGAAGGCAAGAAAGCGATGTTCAAAGGCTTGGTAATATGTTCTGAAAACACTGGCAGAAAAGGGAGGAAATGAGCAAAATAAATGGTCAGAATTGTACAGTGTCTAGAAATCTATCCATTCTCTGCGACTTGATCTTTACTTATGTACTGGAGTGTGACGCTGATGCAGAAGCATTAAGTGACTTTCCACAAGCGTCAGGGCCATGTGGCAGAAGCAGGTGTGAACTCAGGCTAGAATCTCTGGGTCTGCAGCAAGTCCCTTTCCCACACATCATGATAGCTCTCCTTCAGACAACCGTTGGCCACTATGAAAAGAAATAACAGAAATTGTTATGGTTTGAGACATTTTATTGAATTGACCAAATAAGAAATAAATTTTTATTTTCCTTCCTGATCCATGAAAATCTTATGTCTATTAAATAGGTGCAAAGATCAAATGACATCTCAATACCTCCCGGGATTTGACAGTCTGGTATTCCTCTACAGAGAAGTATTTAAATTTCCTAAAGAATTCAGTCTAGAAAATTTTCAGTATCAAGATAATTCAGATCCAAATGTTTTCTTATCAATAGGTTGTAAACACCATAACATCAGAAGGCCAGATACCAATGTTACAATGTTACAGTCAAGTGTCAGTTTTTTTTTTTTTAATTTCTTTCAGAACATTGGCTAATAGAATGGCAATGCTATTTAAAGTTAGAAAAAACCCTGTTATTGATGACTATTACTCCAAAGTCAGCAACAGTGGAGTAATTCTGCTTTTCTTCATTTATATCATCCTCTGGGGAGTGTGTGCCTGAGTCTTCGGGACAGCAGTTACCTTCAGAATACCCCTACCAATGAACAGGTGTGTCCCCTAACCTACAGATGTTTGGACTCTTTGGCTATGAAACATCTGTTAAAAGAAAGCCCCAAACTTATTATGCTAAGTGAAATAAGTCAGAAAAAGAAACACAAATACCATATGATATCACTTGTATGTGGAAACCCCAAAAATAAAACAGATGAATAAACAAACAAAAAGCAGAAACAAACCCATAAATACAGAGAACAATCTGATGGTTGCCAGAGGGAGGGGGGGTTGGGGGAGGGGCAAAATGGGTAAAAGGGAGTGGGAGGTACAGGCTTCCAGTTATGGAATGAATAAGTCTTGGGGTGAAAGGCACAGCATAGGGAATATAGTCAATGGTATTATAACAGCATTGTCACCTGTGGTGAGCATAGCATAATATATAAAGATGTTGAATCTCTCCGTTGCACACCTGAAACTAATGTAACATTGTAATGTTAACACTGTGTCAACTATACTTCAGCAACCCCCCCTCCCCCGCCCCCAGATTTTCAGCGTTGAGACTCTCAAAACATCTAGTTACTTCTCAGAAGTACTCCAGAGCCTCTGCTATAACCTGGCTGTTCCGGATGTTTGGGGATGAACTCCTCAAAGCCACTGATTTTGGGTAAAAGCTACCTAATATTGTTAATCAAAAAAAATTTATTTTTGTCATTAGAGTTTCTTAGTTCCCTTAGGAAATTCTTTGCACAAAGCAATGATAATTTACTTAAGTGGGTTTTATATTAATATTTGGCATATTAAATTACAAATTGAAAACCTAGTTAAGTTCAATCTATAAATCTTTGTTCCCTCAATCTACAAATCTTGTTATGACTTTTGTATGAAATAAGAAAATTGTGTTTGTGATTATTAATTCACTAATATTTGACTGATACATGCAGAGTAGGCTAAATTCTCCTGAAGCAAACAGTGCCATTTATAAACTCAGGTAATGCACTGCCTTAAAATATGTAAAACTTAATTAAATCCTTTTAAAATTTAAAACATAACAACACTTGTATTTTATTTTCTTTTAAGCACTTCAAAAGGCTACTGGAGATGCTTCTAGCCTTAATAATCAAAACCTTGCCAAGTAAAAAAAATGGTTTATATAAATTAAATAAATTTAAATAAACTTATGGCAAATCCAAGTTCTCCTCAATATCGCATGTTCTCTATGAATGAATTAGTATTCTGTTAGATGTCTCAACTTAAAATTATAAGACTGCTATGTGAAAGCACCTT